TACAAATTTCAAACTGTTAATTAAAGTCTGTGAACTTGAATAGATCTGGATAAAACTGGCTTTACCCACTAAGGGATAAACTTCTTTATCATCTAATCTCCAACTTCTCTCAAGTTAAATCCAGATGACTACATGATCTCACAATGATCTGTCAATGGGTTACAAATCTAAATGAAACCAAGCAAAATTAAGTTACTAGCTTAAGCTAATAGGTAACAAGGCATATCACCCACTGATATGAAATAAGAATTGTTGATCAGTAGAATAGAAGAACACTAAAGCTACATTTTAAGAGGTTCAACCCTTTATATTTTTCAGTAAGTTTTAATGTATATCTATTAACCTCCAAGTAGCTGTGGCAAAAATCTAAGACAGTGTTTCCTGTTCATCCCTGTGGACATGTTCATAACCCCCTCATTGAGAACCCATGATGTAAAGTATTTATAGAGTGCCTATTGCAGTAGGATATCAGTGTTTGAGACAAATAATTGTAAAAATGTTTTTTTTTGCTGACAGGGCATGAAGTTTGCTTGCTCTCAGGAAGAGATGATGGACACCATATATTATAAAAAGTAAAGGAGACTTCTGATGACATTTCAAAGTGAGTTTCATCAGGTGTTTAAGATCAAGAGTAAGATTACCTGTGGGCTACCAGATGTTTGAGATGGTTAGACATCATCAATAGCTTTATTGACTCTAGAGAGAGAGAGGGGCAAAACCTGCAAGTCTCCCTTTTTCCTACAAAAACTGCAGAGCCTCTGGTATTGTGACCTGCCCATTTACACAACCACAACACAGTTCTTTTTGGTAGCCTCCCAGCAGAAAGTTGAAGAAAATGTTTCACATTTACTTTTGTGGAACTGAATTCATGGGCACAACCGCACATGCCCTTCCTAGGTCTTGTATTAAAAGTTAAAGGTAAATAGCTTTCTGGTTTGGAACAAAATATCCACTAGCCTGTGGTGAATCCAAATTCTAGTTTTTAAATTTCTGGCTATTACCTGGGGCTTATCTAGGATCTGGTAAAAGATGGAGAACTGGTTAAAAGACAGGGAACAAAGGATTGGAATAAATGGTAAATTTTCAGAATGGAGAAGGGTAACTAGTGGTGTTCCCCAAGGGTCAGTCCTAGGACCAATCCTATTCAACTTATTCATAAACGATCTGGAGAAAGGGGTAAACAGTGAAGTGGCAAAGTTTGCAGACAATACTAAGCTGCTCAAGATAGTTAAGACCAAAGCAGACTGTGAAGAACTTCAAAAAGATCTCACAAAACTAAGTGATTGGGCAACAAAACGGCAAATAAAATTTAATGTGGATAAATGTAAAGTAATGCACATTGGAAAAAATAACCCCAACTATACATACAATATGATGGGGGCTAATTTAGCTACAGCTAATCAGGAAAGAGATCTTGGAGTCATCATGGATAGTTCTCTGAAGACGTCCACGCAGTGTGCAGCGGCAGTTAAAAAAGCAAACAGGATGTTAGAAATCATTAAAAAAGGGATAGAGAATAAGGCAGAGAATATCTTATTACCCTTAAATAAATCCATGGTACGCCCACATCTTGAATACTGCGTACAGATGTGGTCTCCTCATCTCAAAAAAGATATACTGGCATTAGAAAAGGTTCAGAGAAGGGCAACTAAAATGATTAGAGGTTTGGAATTGGTCCCACAGGAGGAGCGATTAAAGAGGCTAGGACTTTTCAGTTTGGAAAAGAGGAGACTAAGGGGGGATCTGATAGAGGTATATAAAATCATGAGTGGTGTGGAGAAAGTGAATAAGGAAAAGTTATTTACTTGTTCCCATAATATAAGAACTAGGGGCCACCAAATGCAATTAATGGGCAGCAGGTTTAAAACAAATAAAAGTAAGTTCTTCTTCACACAGCGCACAGTCAACCTGTGGAACGCCTTGCCTTGCCTGAGGAGGTTGTGAAGGCTAGGACTATAACAGGGTTTAAAAGAGAACTAGATAAATTCATGGAAGTTAAGTCCCTCCAAGTCCCTCTGGAGCATCTGGCATTGGCCACTGTCAGCAGACAGGATACTGGGCTGGATGGACCTTTGGTCTGACCCAGTATGGCCATTCTTATCTTCTTATGTTCTCAATATAGAACAGTGGTGGGCAACCTGTGGCCCGCACGTGGCCCATCAGGGTAATCCGCTGGCAGGCCGCCAGTTTGTTTACATTTGCACGGCCACCCGCAGTTTCCAGTGTCTGCGGTTCGCCCACCACTGATATAGAAGGTTTTGGGAGACAAGCTGTCTGTGGAGGGCCCATGAAACTAATAGGTAGTTTCAAGGACTACGATAGCATTGTTTGTCCTGATTTTTCTTGGCCACTCAAGCCAGCTGAGAAAAAGATGGGAGGATGTACATCCATTTTCCAGATAGATTCTTTCTCATTCAAGCAATGTCACATATTTTCTTGTTCCAGTGCCTTGCAAAAAGTGATTAGTTTCTTCTTGCTTTTGGAGGTGCAGTCCCCAATATCCTGAATATCAAGTTTTTAATTATCTGGTTGAGTTTTTATGCCTCTAGACAGAAGGCTAGATGGCTTAACCAATTTAATTGTACATGCATTTACCCTGGACATGAATCTTAGATACCTAGAGTTTCTTCTGTTCTATCTAGAGAAGGATTCTGTGAGTATGTTTCCTGACCCTCAGGCTCTGGTTTCCTGACAAACACTGCATGGCAGTCATTTTGTAGAAGGACAGATTTGGATGTCAGGTAAAGGATTAAACTACAGTATTGCTAATTGTTGTCAGTTCTAACCCTCTGATGTTCTGTTTTCTCTCTCATTTGGACCATTTACTCAGTGATATTTGTGCACCATAGGTGCTCTTCAACCTGATAGCAAAGCAACCACAGTGATCTGCATTGCAGGAGTCTCTGTGAGGGGATTCTTTGTGGTGAGGGTTTTTGTATGTTGACACCCCCACAACAATTTCAGGATAAGAGTAGGGAGAGTGAATGGAAAAGGGAGGGAGTTCTCCTGAAGATTCTACTTCAATAGGAGGAAGGCTCCAAGAGGTCTCATGTGTTGTAGGGCCCCTTGTGGCCATGCAGGAGACCATCAGAACTATAAGCCATGGAAGCTCCTAGAATTAGGTAGTAGAATTCCCTGAGAAGTGAGAAGGGCCCACTACTTTTATTCATCCAAACAAAGAAAAACGAGAAACAAGAAATAAAAACAAGAACATTAAAAGAAATCATTTAAAAAAATTCTATACCTATGTATACTATACTATAGTATTACATGTACTATTCTATACTATATGTAATACTGTTCGTTATACCTTAAGGTATAAACAATTAACGAAAGCTTAATAAGAGCCAGTCCTGAACTCCTTACTCTGTGCAGATTCACACTGAAATCCAGGGAGTTCTCCCTAAGCATAGACTGAAAGAATGGGCTAAACCAATTTTAATTACTTGCCTATTCTATATAGAGAGATGTTTGGTAAGTATATGTGTTTTGTACATGTTGGTAGACAGAAACTGTACTTATTAAAAGGAAAAATCCTGATATAAAATATCATTTGATAAATTTCTTTGGCATGCATTTTATCATATTGATATACCTGTCAAAACTACATAATGTACAGCAAGGGATTTAAAATGACAGAAGAAGTGGCAGTTAAGGCTATGATTCATAGGTAACCGATACAACACTGCTGCAAATTTGACCATTGTCTTTTACCTGGAACTGGTAATCTAATGTGCTGACACTTTTATTTAGGTCATAAGAGCTACAATATTAACTTGTATAGTATTTTTAAGACATACAGCTTATTAAAAATTTAACACAGCATCAGGGTAGCTGCTTTAAGTACATAAACAATGACATACTGTTTTAATTAACAGATCTAGAAAGAAGCATGTGTCTGACAAGCAAATTAAATCACTACCACTAAATGTAGATGGAAATGGCTACTTTTTAAATACAGAATTGTCAGATTTTATTTAAGGTTTATATATTATATATTGATCAACTGATCCACCTCTTTGTCATTACATTGTTTTCATATAGCATGCTTACAATGTGATCTTTCTACAGCAATAGTATCGTCATACTTCTTCCAGAGCTTTAATCATTTCACGTCTTTTATGGCTAAAGTTCAGGTGTATCTGATTTCACCATATAACTTGCCTAAACAGCCTATATTATTAAAATGGTGCTAAACCTTTCATTTGAGAGTTCTAAGATTACTTAAGAACTTCTCCATTATTAATAAGCCAACAGCAACCATAAACCAAAATTCATTACATTAGAAGATAGTTTCCCTAGCTACAGATACAAGAGTTTCACTCCTTTAGATGTATTTCTGACAAGACTAGGGATTCTCCAATGGAATTGTCTTAAGCAGCTACAGAAATTGTATTTTGGCTTGGAAAACTTTCATCATAGGGCACAGCTATGAAACAATTTCTGCCTGCAACAAAGCACCTCCTAGCTACATTCAGTTCAGGAGGTTTATGGTGAACAGCAACTAAGATGAAGTGTTTCATTAAGCCCTTCAGGCTGATCTAGTTAGCATTCACAAAGTGAAATAACCTACGCATCATTTTACTCTTCATTAGCTGGCTGTTTAGAAGAAAAATATGAGCTAATCTATTTTATTTCAGCTGTTGGGCAGTGTCATGGTACTACCACCCCCACACCCCAAAAATATAAAGTAGATCTGATAATTGAGGGCTTATCAACAGTAGTGATAAAGAATTCCCTCTGTGGTTGTCATTCAATGTTTCACCTTGGTGGGCAAAAATGATAAATCACTTCATGTAAAATCTATTATTAAACTAATCAGGAAGCCACAGTATATAAAAAAAGGGAGCTCACAAAACAAAACAACACAAAAAGCTGACATCAGAGAAGGATAGACAGGATTAGATCCTGCATGATTTCAAGAACAAATAGATCCCTCTGGGACTTTGGGGATTAATATTTTTTCTCTCTCAGACACTGTTCAGAATTAATGAGGGTACCTGCAACAATGCTGGCAAGCTGCTGAGTTCTGGTGATGGGGTAGATGCTGCGTGCCTGAACGACTGCTGAAGCTATTTTCTTGGCGTGCCTCTCCTCCCCGTATGTTCTCAGGATGGACGCAAGCGCCTGTTGATCTAAAGCATTCACAACATCAGCAGCGGTGGGCATGTCAGGATACCTACGCACAAGAAGAGCCAATTAGTTCACTGACGTCAGTTTTCATTGACAAGAGGTGAAGCTTCATAGCATTGAGACATAAAGTCAAACACACACACTGCATGCAAGTGCCTTTGAGGTTTTAAAATAAGAGAAAGCAATCCTGTGAAAACGGAAATAGCTTCTACCTTTTAAATCCCGTCTTATTACTTCAGATGGAGTGTCTTCCTTAACATTAATTAGCAATAAAGAATAGCTGAAACTTCAGGTACTACCATAAACTTTTAACATTAATGAGTTGACAAAGATTAGCTGTAGTTCAAGTATTTTTCTAAAATTGAAAGGCTGTAAGATTGCCTTTATTTAGATATCTTCAAAATATGAACTCATTTCTTATGTGTTGGTTTTAGTCATCTTGCATTATTTGTTCTGTTTTCCCACTCAGAATACAGAGGAACTAATCTCAAGGATCTTTCCCCTTACATGCAGTGCTATGAAAAATGATCCCTTATGAAGATAAATTTCCTGTACTGTCACTTAAAGGTATCTCAATTTAAATTCAAAAGTATTTTGAAAGAAAAGGATATTTGTAACTATCTACCAAAAGGCAAACAAAATATCCCATAGTCATCAATATTTCTTTCACCTGTACAACTTTCTTTATTGAAATCGTTCAAGGTCTTTGATATACACTGCATGGGTATTCAGTAATGTGCAGAGACTGCTCAATCTAATTCAACTATTTCACAGACTTGCCTTTTCTACAAAGGGACAGATAGGCAGAATATTTCTCAGTATTTTATTATTTCCCCACAATATCTTACAGAAAATAACCAAACTTAAGATACTATTTGCCCTGTATATTTATCCTCAACTGTACAATATATGCCCGTTTTATCCCAGTCATTCTTTATTCTTATCATGCAAGTTCATATACCAGCAAGGATATTTTAGTGGCAAAAACCTCAGGTTTACATTCCTTGAAACCACAGGCTTGAACCCAGTAAGATCTCAGCTGTTCATCCTAGAGTTGACTAAATTGCGTATCATGCAGTTTACTGTGTCAGTCTTTGAGATAGTTTCTTAGAAACTGAGGTACCATTGGCTATGTGTGAACATTAACAATACCATGGCTCATATTCTAAGAACACAAGTTTGTCCCACTATTTTTGGCCAGAATTTCCCATTCCCTTATAGGTGTGCAGCATGCTATGTCTCAGTTAATTACCATCATCCATACAACAGAGGTGACTGCATATTTGGTGTTTTCTGTAATAAGGCATATTCCCCATGAAAGGCACTGGGTCCCTTCGAGGTGACAGTTGCTATATACATAGAAAACATTACTATTTATGATTAGCATTGCATTCCACCTTCCAGATTATACTCAGCACTGACTCTAATCGATTAAATATAAAGTTTTTTTTTTTACTACTTGTTAATTTGAGTATAAAGTAAGTCATTCTGATGTGCTTGCTATGAAACATAGAACAACGTTAATGAATTGCTTACAGTAAGCATGCAAGTAGTGGTAGAATATTTAATGCCTTGAAAGCAGTGTTGCCATTGTAATTTAATTGACAGGCTCACTGCCGTTTCTTTGTAGAGGTTAGCACATGCCCATCTTCAGAGTAGCTACCAAGGTTAAAAGAAATCTGTTAGAACTTTATTTATACTTAAGCATCCTCATTTCACCTAGATGATAAACTACCTTCTCAGTTACAATTTCATTTATATCCTACATCATGGTCTGCTTAACAAAATTAAAGATGCTTGTTTTAATTATTGTTATTATTCATTGCTTTTAACCTTAAGTATGGAAAGCCTAATAGTCAAATTCTGAGCTTCCACCACTGAAACCCAGAAGTACCTTCACTTTATGCTGGAGTAAGCGAGATTGGAATCTGGCCCTAAATCCTGAGAACTAGATGAGCCTCTATGGCAAAAGAACAAAGCTGATTTATTATGTATGTGCAGAGTTAGATGTGGGCGTGTGATGGGAATTCTGCAACCTAAAAAGGAAATTAAATTCAGAGTGTTGTTGAGAAATTGATTTCTTGTTGTGAGAAGAAATGTTTGATCAATACATACCTGCCACTATCCATCCTCATATCCAAAGGGCCATCCTTTCGCAGGGAAAAACCTCTTTCAGGAGTATCAAGCTGCATAGAGGAACACCCAGCATCCAAAAGAACTCCATCTAGCATTCCTGGCTCTACTCCAGCTGAGATTAACAAGGTTTCTGCTTGGCTAAACTGCCCTAGAAGAGCCTGAATCTGTTTCCTATAAGAGAATCACAGATAAAAAGTGTCAATCTGAATGTTAATAGTGCAATATTTCTTCCCTTTTAAAGTAGGAAATGAACAAAAAATTGGAGTAAAATTTGCCAAACCATATAAGTGACTTAGGCTTCTCAGTCCCATTTTCAAAACAGACTCAGGAATTTAGGAGCCAAAGTCTCAATGACACTTAGACACATAAGTCACTTTGAAAACAGGACTCAGGCACTTTTCAAAGTTTTACCTTAGGACTAGTTTTCCTCTCAGGCCAGATTTACATTAATGCAACTCCACTAACTGCAACAGAGTTACTCCAGTTTTCAACTAGTATAAGTGAGAAGGGCCCACTACTTTTATTAACCCAAAGAAAAATGAGAAACAAGGAATAAAAACAAGAACATTAAAAAAACCAAACAAAAATCATTAAAAAAAATTCTATCACAACAAAAATTATGATCACAGTTCCTTACTACTAGAAAAAAGGGAACAAACAAATATTACATGAAGGTTATTTGCCCACACACAAGCACTCTAAATATAAAACTGTACAATACACCATTAAATGCGTATACTGATGTTCAGCATAATAGGAATAGGATTTCATAGCCTTGAAAAACGTGGTGATTCATTTGATATACCTACTCAGACATTCAATATTTTAACTTACATTTAAGACAACTCTGAGAAATTTATCATTTACCCCCAGCACCCTTTCCAACTAGCATATTAATATCATCCAAAAACCAATTAGACATGTGACAAAGTGAGAATATCTATATTATTTGTTATGAATATGGTGCATGCCTCTGTGTGTGAGTTTATGATGGGTTACTTCCTATGGAGTTACATCAAAAGTGGTTGTTAGAGGAACAAGCAGGAAAGGTAAAACAATGGCGAAGGCTCATCCCAACAAACACTCAAACATCATAGCCAAGAAAAGACTCCTCCACTCCAACTGTGGTGACATAGCTGTTTTGCTAGGGCTGAGATGACAGAGATCAAAGGGAATGGTAAAATATTAGAATACCCAGGGTCTAGAAAAGAGTGGAAATTGAGTGAGTGGCCAGAGGTTACTCAGAGAGTGTCAGAAAAAACAGACAGAGACGGGGAGCCTGCTGTGGACAGGACAGTCTGTTTCTCCCAGCCAGAGATGGGGGTTAGCTATGCTGAGAGAAACTTGCAAAAGCTGGCAAGGAAAGATTAAGGATAAGTAAGATCCAGGCTTAGGGTTAGGTTTATACTTTTTTATTGTTTTTACCCCTTGCTGAATGTGCTCTGTACCTTGGGAGGAAGGAATAAATAATAGGGCTGTCAAGCGATTAAAAAAAATTAATCGCAGTTAATCATGCGATTAATCGCACTGTCACACAATAATAGAATACCATTTATTTAAATATTTTTGGATGTTTTCTACATTTTCAAATATATTGATTGCAATTATAACAGAATACAAAGTGTACAGTGCTCACTTTCTATTTATTTTTATTACAAATTTGTACTGTAAAAAACAAAAGAAATAGTATTTTTCAATTCACCTCATACAAGTACTGTAGTGCAATCTCTTTATCATGAAAATTGAACTTACAAATGTAGAATTATGTTCAAAAAATAACTGTATTCAAAAATAAAACAATGTAAAACTTTAGAGCCTACAAGTTCACTCAGTCCTATTTCCTGTTCAGCCAATCGCTCAGACAAACAAGTTTGTTTACATTTGCAGGAGATAATGCTGCCCGCTTCTTTTTCACAATGTCACCTGAAAGTGAGAACAGGCATTCTCATGACACTGTTGTAGCGGATGTCACAAGATATTTACATGCCAGACGCGCTAAAAATTCATATGTCCCTTCATGCTTCAACCACCATTCCAGGGGACATGCTTCCATGCTGATGACGGGTTCCTCTCGATAACAATCCAAAGCAGTACGGACTGACACATGTTCATTTTCATCATCTGAATCAGATGTCACCAGCAGAAGGTTGATTTTCTTTTTTGGTGATTCGGGTTCTGTAGTTTCCGCATTGGAGTGTTGCTCTTTTAAGACTTCTGAAAGCATGCTCCACATCTTGTCCCTCTCAGATTTTGGACGGCACTTAAGATTCTTAAACCATGGGTTGAATGCTGTAGCTATCTTTAGAAATCTCACATTGGTACCTTCTTTGCATTTTGACAAATCTGCAGCGAAAGTGTTCTTAAAAATGAACAACATGTGCTGAGTCGTCATCTGAGACTGCTATAACATGAAATATATGGCAGAATGCAGGTAAAATAGAGCCGGACACATTAAATTCTCCCCCCAAGGAGAATTTAATTATTTAATTTAAATAAACACTTTTTTTTTTTTTTTTAAACGAGCATCATCAGCATGGAAGCACGTCCTCTGGAATGGTGGCTGAAATATGAAGGGGCATATGAATGTTTAGCATATCTGACATGTAAATACCTTGCAATGCCAGCTACAGAAGTCTCATGCGAACGCCTGTTCTCACTTTCAGGTGACATTCTAAATAAGAAGCAGGAAGCACGGTTTACATTTATAGAAGATAAACTTGTTTGTTTTTGCGATTGGTTGAACGAGAAGTAGGACTGAGTGGACTTGTACGCTCTAAAGTTTTGTATTGTTTTGTTTATGAGTGCAGTCATGTAACAAAAAAAAAATCTACATTTGTAAGTTGCACTTTCACAACAAGGAGATTGCAGTACAGTACTTGTATAAGATGAAATGAAAAACACTTTCTTTTGTTTATAATTTTTACAGTGCAAATATTTTTTATGAAAAATAATAATATAAAATGAGCACTGTACACTTTGTATTCTGTGTTGTAACTGAAATCAATATATTTGAAAATGTAGAAAAACATCCAAAAATATTTAATAAATTTCAATTAGTATTCTATTGTTTAACAATGCGATTAAAACTGTGATTAATCACGATAAATTTTTTTAATTGAGATTAATTTTTGAGTTAATTGCATGAGTTAACTGCGATTAATCGACAGCCCTAATAAATAATGCTTTGTTCTGAAGACACTGTTTTTGAATTGCTTTAATCAACTCACTAGTCACAGGTCCCTGAAAGAAAAGGGTTTGCAGGTCCCAACCACAGATGGGCCTGATACATTAAGAGGCTGCGGCCCAGTGACTCAGTCCCAGGTGGCTGGACCATCCGGTACCACACCGAGTGAGGTGCAGGAAGCCAGTCCTGTCACCTAAGGGGTGCAACTCAAGAGGGATTAAAAGGGTGTTAAGTGCAGTTTGCCCTGTAACTGTGAAAACATCATTCCTCTTCTCTACAATTATCCTGATGCTGCTTACTCAGGCTATTCTACTCATATTCCAAACATCTAATCTTTTAAAAGGTTGTTTGCCAATCTTATTTAACATTCTTGAAAGAATTTCTATTTAATTTAAATCTTCTTGAAAGACTGTTACCTAAAAACAATGGCTTTAAAGAATTTCTAATGATGATTTACATAACATCTTACGTCCCAAGGAAGTTTTTTGTTTTGTTTTATAAGAAATGCTCTGTAGAGATCCCTTCACACAGTGAAATGTAATCAACCTGGAGTGACGCTTGGCAGCTGTATAACAGCATACAATATTAGGCAGCAGTTTAGGCTATGTCTACACTAGAGATCTTACAGCGCACTGCTGTACCGATGCAGCTGCGCCGCTGTAAATTCTCTCGTGTAGTCATTCTATGCTGACGGGAGAATCGTTCTCCTGTTGACATAATTAATCCACCCCAACAAGTGGTGATAGCTATATCAGCTACAGTCCCAAGATATTAGAGAGACAAGGTGGGTGAGGTAAAATCTTTTATTGGACGAACTTCTGTTGATGAGAGAGAGACAAGCTTTTGAGCTACACAGAGCTCTTCTTCAAGTCTGGGAAATGTAGTTAAAGCTAAATAGAAGGTGGAATACATTGTTTAGCATACATAGTTAACACCTGTTTCAAAGGAGCAATCAAGAAGTTACGTGCCTTGTGCAGTAACGATGGTTCTTCGAGATGTGTCTCTCTATCGGTGCTCCATTGTAGGTGTGTCTGCATCCCTGCGCTGCTGATCAGAGAACTTCAGTAGCAGTGTCCATTGGGCCAGCACATGCACTGTCTCTCCTTGAGCTGCACCATGAGGCTAGACAGCACACGCGGGCTAACCCTCCTCAGTTCCTTCTCTACTGTAGAGTCAAGACAAGAACTCCAAAGGGGAAGGATGGGTTGTGGAGTACCCACAGGGACACACATCTCTAAGAACCATCATTACTGCACAAGGTAACTACTTCTTCGAATAGTGTCCCTATGGGTGCTCCATTGTAGGTGACTCCCAAGCAGTGCCACTTCTAGATGGCCGGGACTTCAGAGTCCGGTCAGTTACTGATGACACCGTGGAGCCGAAGATGGCATTGGAGGTGGAGTCCCAAGTGATTGCATAGTGTTCTGCAAAAGTGTGGACTGACACCCACGTCACAACTCTACAGATCCCTGAGACAGGGAAATTCTTGAGGAAGGCAATGGATGAGGAAACTGATATTGTAGCGTATGTACGAATGGTATCTGGAGGGTTTTGTAGCAATGTGTGGTATAGTTTGGGACCCACTTGGACAGTCTTTGGGCTGATATTCTGAACCCTGGGATCTTTCTGCCATGGAGAGGAAAAACCTAGGGGACTTCCTGAAGGCTTTTGTCCTATCCAGGTAGAAGGCCAGGGCTCTCCTGAAATCCAGGGTATGTAATATAGCCTCACTGTTGTCTCGGTGAGGCTTGAGGTAGAAGATTAGAAGGTGAATCAACTGATTCATGTGAAACTGAGAAGTTACCTTAGGGATGAAATTTGGGTGTGGTCTGAGGGTAACCTTGTCTGGAAAAAATACCATGTAGGGAGGGCTTATATCTCTCCTATTCTCATGACCAAGGTAATCACTACCAGGAAGGCCTTTTTCATTGATAGGTACGTCAGCGACTAGTTGGGTCATGGGTTTAAAGGGAGGCCTAGTCAGTCCTTTCAATACCAGGTTTGGGTCCCACCTGGGGATAGGAAGTTGAGATTGTGAAAAGGGGTTTACTTGAGGAAACTTTTAGTAGTTGGGCATGACAGCGCTGAATACCTCTCTACAGGTTGGTGGAAAGCTGCAATAGCCACTAGGTGGACACAGAGAACATATTCACAGTCCGGACTGTTTTAGGGTTAAAGCATAGTCTAGGATATGTTAAAGTGTCGCGGAAGCTGGGGAAGATATGTTGGGACATGCACCCAATGAAACCTGGACCATTTATGTCTTCATCAATGATAATGGCATAGAAAGTACACTTTGTGAACGATACCAAGCTGGGAGGGGTTGCAAGTACTTTGGAGGACAGGATTAAAATTCAAAATGATCTGAACAAACTGGAGAAATGGTCTGAAGTAAACAGGATGAAATTCAATAAGGACAAATGCAAAACACTCCACTTCAGAAGGAATAATCAGTTGCACACATAAAAAATGGGAAATGACTACCTAGGAAGGAGTACTGCAGAAAGGAATCTGGGGGGTAATAATGGATCACAAGCAAAATATGAGTCAATAGTAACACTGTTGCAAAAAAAAAGCAAACATCATTCTGGGATATTGTGATAAATGAAGGGAGGGGGTAGCTCCCTTTTATGGACCCCCAGCCAGCCAGTAGCTATAAAATCCCTCTTAGTAGCTGTTCTCTAATTGCTGTACCTGTAAAGGGTTAAAAAGTCTCACTGCTATGCATAAGTAAAAAGAAGTGAGTGGGCACCTGGCCAAAAGAGCCAATGGGAAGGCTAGAACTTTTTAAAATTGAAACAAGACTCCCCTTTTGTCTGTCTGTGGTTGTTCTTCCGGGGAGAGGCAGACAGGGCAACAGCTATGCTGTAAAAAGCTTGGGGCCAGATATGAAAAATCATTGGTATCATACCTAGAAACTATTCATTTGAAACCCCAGATATGTAAGTAGATCAGGAAATGTCTAGGAAGACGCGATTAGGTTTATCTCTTTTTATTTCTTTATGGCTTGTAGACTCCTCTGCGCTAACCCCAGATGCTTTTGTTTTGCTTGTAACCTTTAAGTGAGACCTCAAGACGGCTATTCTTCATGCTTAATCCTTGTAGTTACTCTTTTAAAATCTATCAATAGCCTGAGTTTCCAGATGTATGTTTTTTTTTAAAATAAAATTTACCTTTTTAAGAACAGAATTGGCTTTTTGTTTCTTAAGAGGTTTGTGCACATGTTGTTTAATTAACTGGTGGCAACAGCTGATTTCCTTTTTTTTCTTTGTTTCTCAGCTCTTCCCGGGGGGGGGGGGGGGGTGGGAGGGGGGATGAAAGGGCTTGAGGGCCCTCCACAGGAAGGAATTCCCAAGGGCGCCTTCCTGGGCTCTCAAAGGGGTTCTGCACTTGGGTGGTGGCAGCATCTACCAATCCAAGGTCAGAAAAAAATTTAATCTTGGGATTTTAATACAAGCCTGGAGTGGTCAGAATTAATTTTTAGAATCCTTGCAGGCCCCCCACCTTCTGCACTTGGAGTGCCAGAGCGGGGAATTAGCCTTGACAGATGTTTTAGCAGGAGCGTTGTAAGCAAGACACAAGAAGTAATTCTTCTACTCTCTTCCTAATCAGGCGCTGATTAGGCCTCAACTGAAGTATTGTGTCCAGTTCTAGGTGCCACATTTCAGGAAAGATGTGGACAAATTGGAGAAAGTCCAGAGGACAGCAACAAAAATGAGTAAAGGTCTAGAAAACATGACCTATGAGAGAAGATTGAAAAAATTGGGTTTGATTAGTCTGGAGAAGAGAAGATGGAGAGGGGACATGATAACAGTTTTCAAGTACATAAAAGATTGTTACAAGGAAGAGGGAGAAAAAAGGTTCTCCTTAATCTCTGAGGATAGGACAAGACACAATGGGCTTAAATCGCAGTAAGGACTGTTTAGGTTGAACATTAAGAAAGTCTGTGAGAGGAGGTGTGGAATGGCCGGGAAAGAGATCGGTGGACATGTCACAAGCTGTGACAGGTAAGGGTACCAGGTGTGTCTTGGCCAAGTAAGAGCAATCAGAACAACGCAAGCTCTGTCCCTTTTTATTTTCAGCAGGACCTTCAACAGTAGAGAAAGTGGAGGGAAGGCATAGAGCAGTGGTTCTCAACTAGGAGTCTGGGGCCCACTGGGGAGCCACGAACAGGTTTCAGGGGGTCCACCCAGCAGGGCTGGCATTAGATTTGCTGGGAGCCAGAGCAGAAAGCTGAAGCCCCACAGCCTGTGGCTGAAGCGGAAGCCTGAGAAACAGCTTCAGAGGGTCCCCGTGGTGTGAGGCCCCAGGCAGTTGCCCTGCTTGCTATCTCAAAACGCTGGCCCTGGCTTTTATAGGCAGAAATACAGTTGTTGTAGCACAGACAAGCCGTGGAATTTTTATAGCATGTTGTGGGGGCTTCCGAAAGAAAATGGTTGAGAACCCATGGAGTAGAGAAGGTCCCTGTTGCAGGGGAGGAGGACAGCATCACCTCAGGAATGTTGTCCTATCCCCACTCTGGAGCAGTAGCATGGACTTCTTGTTCAGGTGAGTGGCAAACAGATCTGTAGATGGTGTCCCCTATCATCTGAATAAATCGTGAAGTACTGACGGGTGTATCTCCCATTCATGGCCGTGTAGGAGTTTGGACTCAGACTGTCCGCTATCAAGTTTTGAGGAGGTATGCCGCGGACAGTGTAACGTTGTGGGAGATGCACCAATTCCATAATCTCATTGTTTCTGCGTATAGGTAGGGCGATATGGCTCAACACTGCCGACTGATGATGTACGTACAGTCAATGTTGTCTGTCAAGATCTTTGTGTGCAATCCTTTGATCAGTGGGAGGAAATGGGCGTGGTCATTCCTGACCACTCTCAACTCAAGGAGACTGATGTGGAGGGATATCTCCACAGGTGACCATTTGCCTTGTGTCATGAAACCATTGTGATGTGCGCCCCAGCCTATGAGTGATGCGTTGGTGGTGAGGAGCAATGACTATGATGTTTGCAAGAAGGGGGTCCCTTTGCAAATGTTGGCTGGGTCTTTCTACCAGTTTAAGGAGTTTCTGATCCTGGGGGGAAGTGATAATGGTTTGTCCAACTTGTTGGTCTGTAGATTGGTCTGAACTACATTTGGAGACATCACATGTGAAGCCTGGCATGAAGTATCATCACTGTGCCTGCTGCCATCTGTCCCAAGAGTTGGAGGCAAAGCCTGGCCGTTATTGTGGGCTGCTTTGAACGGTGTTGAAGGATAGGAACCTGTGTTGATGTAAGAGGGCTTTGGCTTGTAACACATCAAGGTTAGCCCCTATGAATTCCAGGCATTGCACTGGAGTGAGGATTGACTTCTGGGTGTTGATCTGTAGCCCCAGTTCTGTAAACAAATATATCGTAGTGTCGGTGACTTTGTGAGCCTCCCAGAGAGACTGGGATCCGGGGAGACAATCGTACAGATATGGGTAAATCATTATCCCTTGAGAGCATAAAGGAGTGCCCACCATTGAGAGAGCCTTGAAAAATACTCTTGGGGCCGATGATAGCCTGAAGGAGAGCACTCTGTATTGGTAATGGTTGTGTCCCAGCATGAATCTGAGAAACTGTCTGTGAGCCAGTAGGATTGAGATGTGAAAATAAGCGTCCTGGAAGTCGAGGGCCAAAAACCAGTCTCCCTGTTCCAATGCTGGAATGCTTGTTGATAAAGGCAACCATGTTAAACTTTTGAACTTTGACAAACTTGTTGAGAGCTCTGAGGTCTAGTATGGGTCTGCAACCTCCCCTCCTTTTGGGTTTTAGGAAATAAGAGTAGAACCCCTTGCTTTGTAGATATTGAGGTACTGGGTCTATGGCTCCTAGCTGGAGATAGTGATATCTTGTCGCAGTATACTCTTGTGAGGAGGGTCCCTGAAGGGGGATCGGAAGGGGTGTTGTGGAGGGGGTAGGGAGATAAAACAAATGGAGTACCTAGTTTGGACAATTTCTAGGACCCATCAGTCCAATGTTATGCATTCCCAGGGACTGTGGAACTCTGCGAATTGGTGGCCAAATGGGTGTGGAATGATGATCAGCTGTATCAGTCGGGAGGAGTGGTCTAATAGTGCCTTGACCTGCCCATCGGTGTTTAGATGTAGAGGGCTGGGATGAAGATTCTGGGCCACAGGGTTTGCATTAGGGAATTTCCCTTTCTTTCTTTGCTGCTCATAGTGGCGCTGAGGCTGGTACCGAGACGTGTGTCATTTATCTGGGATTGGGGACTAAATAGTCTTTTTTTCCCCTTGGTGTATAGCCACCTAGTGACTGGAGGTAGCCCTGGAGTCCTTCAGGGTGTGAAGGGAGGAATCAGTCTTCTCAGTGAAGAGCTTTGTGCCCTCAAAGTGAAGGTCCTCAACTGTGGACTGCACCTCTTTTGGGAATCCTGACAAATGAAGCCATGATGCTTGTTGCATCACCACAACAGTGGAGATGGACCTAGCTGCTGCATCAGCTGCATCAAGGGCAGACTGTATATATAATACCGTATATACAACACTACTATATTCCTGTATAATGGCCTTGAGTGAGTCATGATGTGCTTCTGGCATATTTTCAATAAAGTCATTCAGCTTTGAGTAATTTATGTAATCTCATTTTGTCATGAGGGCCTGGTACTTGGCGATATGAAATTGTAGGGTGGCTGAGGAGTATGCTTTCCTACCGAACAGATCAAGGCACTTCCAATCCCTGTGGTAGGAAGAAGCCTTAGACTGGTGTGGTCAACTGCAAGAGTTGACAGTGTCCAAAACCATGGAGTTGGTGTGGGGGAAGAATAGAAATTCAAAATCCTTGGTGGGGACATAGTATTTTTGTCTGCTCTCTTGCAGGTTGGGGCCACTGATGCTGGGGTTTGCCACATGGTCTTTGCCAAGTCTAAAATGGACTCATTAATCAGGAGGGAGATCTTTGAGGAGACCAAAAAATGGAGGATATCAAGAAGTTGATGGTGGGTATCCTTGACCTCCTCCAATAGAATCTGGAGAGTGTCTGCCACCCTCTTTGCCAGTTCCTGAAAGAGATGAAAATTGTCCAAAGATGGTGGAGAAGGCATGATGGTTTCATTTGGAGAGGAGGAGGATATGGTCCTTGGAGTCACTTCCTCCTCAGTACTGGCTTCCTGTTCCTCTAAATCTTGAGGTATTTCCAAAGCCCTGGATGGTGCAGCCGAGGGAGTGTGCCTCAAGGGTTCTTGGACAAGGCTTGGAACTCCAGAAGTGGCGGTACGCCACCCAAAGGTCCTAATATGGCCAGTGGGGTGGTGATGGCGCTTGTAGGTGGCTGTACCAGGATGGTGGTGTTGAAACCATCTGTGTGTATATATACTTGGCCTCTGTTGGTAGTGAGCACTATATGGAGCTTGGGAGGAGTACTGGGACACTAGCTCTTCAAGCTCGCTGTCTGAACCCTTGCTAGAGAGCAAAGGGGCACTACATGGCAGCAAGGATACTTCCCGTGCTTGGTAGAGGCTCAGTGCCGAGAGGAAGAGAATCCGATGCAGCCGGAATGTGGAGGTCTCTTGAATGGCGGAGTTCTGCCTTTACCGATCATCCTGGTATCAATGCCGGGGACCTTGTCCGCACTAGTTGATCCTGTGCTGGGTGAACTATTGCTGGCAGTACCAATGTCGGCTCACGTACTGGAAGTGTCTTCTTAGATGAGCGCTTACTACTTGTCCTTTGGTGCCGATGACTCAGTGCCTGTGCCTATTGGGTCTGTGGGCCTGTCAGTGGTACCTGTTTGTTTCTGTGAGCTATGGATCCTGGACTGAGATGGCCTCAGTGCCAATGGTCTTGAAGATACCGAGCGAGATGGTGATGGCTTGTGGCTATCTCAGGGCTTGCTAGGGGGCTTCCTACTCTCTTCTTAGATGATTTGTGAGAGGGGTCTGCAGCCTGCTTCTTCAATTCGCAGCCCTTCAATGTAGAATGCTGTGGAGAAGACGCAAATCTACCAAGCAACTGGGGTCAGAGAGCTACCTCCATGAAGATAATCTTCTGACCGAGTTCTCAATCTTTGCGGGATCATGGCTGGAGTTGTTGGCAAAGACCACACTTCTGTTGTATAGGGCCTTCCCTGAGGCAGTGAATGCACTGAAAGTGCTTATCCGGGATCAGGATCACCTCTTTACAAGTAAGGCACTTCTTGAAGTCCGATGAACTGGGCATATCCCATTGCGGGAAAAGGGTCTCAATGGGGGAGAAAAGGTTGGGAAAAAATATAAAGTCTTTTTGTTTTAATTTTTAAGGATAAAATAAAGAAAAGGTGGAAAAACTACAACTAGGAGACTAACTGTAGGTTCGTAGATTAAGACAACAGTCTTAATGGACTGCCAATGGGCCTGTCTCTAGCCAGGGGCAGTTGAACTGAGGAGGGTTAGCCAGCGTGTGCTGGTTAGCCTGGTGGCGCAGCACAAGGAGAGACAGCGCATGTGTGGGACCAACGGACACTGCTACCAAAATTTTCCAATCAGCAGCGCAGGGATGCAAGCATACCTACAGTGAAGCACCCAGAGGGATACTACTCGAAGAAGAAGTGACTTATTAACACCTCTCCAGTCATGGAGGGGAGGATGCTGTAATGAACCATAAATCCAGTGTCTCTGTTCAGTCCAAGATTTTTAGTATCTAGCAAAGTTATGAATGTAAACTTCCAGGCCTGTCTTTTGAGGGTATTGTGCAGGTTTCCTTTGAAGATGAGGACTGTGAGGTCAGATATAGAGTAATTGCTTTGTGAAAAGTGTTCACCCACAGGTGATATGATGTTTTTGTCTTTTATCATTTTTCTGTGAGAGTTCATTCAAGAGTGCAGTGATTGTTTTGTTTCACCCACAACGTTGATTTGGGGCATTTAGTGCATTGGATGAGGCACACTATAAATTGTGATAGGCATGTGTAGGGCCCATGAATCTTGAAAGGTGTGCTGTGGGGGTGTTGTCCATTGACACAGTGAAGATACGTCTACAGCTATTGCATCTGTTGTTCTGGTAGGGTCTGGTGCTACTTTGAGTTGGTGTGTCCTAGTCTGTGGGAAGCTTGCTTCTGATGATGAGTTTGGAGAGGTTGGGGGGTTTCTTTGAAGATCAGAAGAGGGGTTCAGGAAAGATTTAGTTCAGTATGAGGTCCCCATGACTATGGTTGTAATTGTTTGATGATACCCTGTATGAACTGGACTGTACATTTAATAATCACATACTCCCAAATAAATTATGTTCAAGAGGCCAAGTATAGGTTAAATAAGATTCTTCATAGAATTTGAGTGGCAGACTCTAGATTCAAAAACATGCCAACTTCCTAAATTAACATTTAGAACACTGAACATCTCACATTGTCTGAACTAAAGATGAGTATACTTGCATAGAGAATTTTCTTTTTTCTACCTCCTCCCACCTCTGACCTGCCTGCCTCTCAACTCGTGCTGCCTCCTCCTCTTACCTCAGTTATTCTCCCCTAGCCTCCAAACAACAGAGCTTCCCCTCTTCCTCCTCACACCACCCAACAGTATCTACAGGATACAGCTGCCCTTCTTCAAGACACATTTAACCCAGCCCCAAAGAGTGATGCTTATAGAACCTCTTGGCCAAGTCATCCGCAAACACAGCTGTCTGAGATTTTAAGATTACCTCAGACAAAATCACTTTGTAGATTATTTAGATGTATAAATTCCACACATACCCATCCCATGCTCTGGATGTGTGTAACAGGATTAGCACCTGTCTCTCACGAGTGCCCCCCTGATTGACTGCAGTCACTCAGTTTGTGGAATGGGGTGGCATCTGCCTCTCGCGAGTGGCCCCTCCCCCCCAGTCGATGTTTTTTTTTTTTTTTTGGCAGGTTTTCAGTGACTCAGCCCTCTGGCCGAGTCACACACACTGTCTATAGGCGGAACAGAACAAACCCCTTACAGGGCATATAGTCTTTACCCTTTCCTGGCTCAGGTATCGGGCCATACCCCAGGGCTTCCTCCCTGGAGACACTGTCTTCCTGCAGCCTCCCTGAGCTCAGTCCTTACTCAGTCCACGCAGCCAGCCAGGGCCTCCCCCTTAGCCCTGCCCACACTGAGATGTCCATGGTCCTGCTGCACTTTCAGCCAGCCAGAAACATGGTCCTCTCTCTTCCAGCTCCAGGCAGCAACTGACTGACTCTGTCAATGCTGCTCCTTTTTATACAGCCCTCCTAAACCCTGACTGGTCACAGTTCGTCTGATTGGAGGACTTCCCTTCTGTTCTTCTCTGGGGCAGGGTGTGGCAGGACCCTGAGGCCTCCAGTC